ACCCTGGGTTTCTTGGGGAGCTGGCCTTTAGAGGCTGTGTATGTGGCAGACACAGTAGCGAGTTGGACCATGAGCTCTTCAAGGGGAAGGAGAGGGGCTGAGCTCAGACTTGACCACCAAGCCCCAAGGGCTCCCTGGACAGTTCTCCCCTACTCAGTAGCAGCTTGAGTGCCAGGACCAGTTGTATTTGCAAGGCCAGGCATGGGTCACTGGCCTAGAGATGCTGATGCCTGCTGCAGGCTCAGATGTACCCTTACCTCAGCATCTCTTAGGGACTTGGGAACTCCTTGACTGCCCTACTCAGTGAAGCCCCATGGCAGTCTTCTCTCACATCACAATATGTACCTCTTGCTCTTGCTATTCTGGCCAAGCTGACCTCCTTTCTGTTCTAGGAACACCCTGTGTCTTTCTACCCCAGGGTCTTTGCACTTGCTATTACCTCCACCTATTACTCTCTTGGCTTATCACACTGTTGGTCTCTTATCATTTGAAGGTCTTCTTCTCAGACTGTTACTCCTGTGTACACTCCCAGTGGCTCTCTTGTCACCCTGTTGATTTCCTCTGAAACTGTTTTTGTTTCCCTGTTTACTTGTTTGGCATGTGCTCCTGAAGGGCAGGGTCCCAGCTGCTTCTCTCTCCCTAGGGTTCTCAGCACAGTGGCACAGTAGACAATGGGTGAGTAGATGACTCATCTTCTCAGACCCTCCTGTCCCCATGTTAGGTGGAGCCCCCTACCCCATCCAGAAACTTCTGGCCTGAGTTCTTCATGCCAAAGCCAATTATCTTTGAAGGAGGCAGATGCCCAGGAAGGGGGACCCTGGACTCCAAGACCTCCCAGGCTTGGAACTGTTTCTCTGGAGGGAAGAGAAGCCTGGAAAGAGAGGTTTGAAAGGAAGGGGCAGAGAGGGAAGGGTACCTGACTCCAATCTCAAAACTGCTTCTGGGCTAAGAAGCAGGAAGGGGGAAGTGCAGGGGATGTACCCAGGAGGTGGAGCCTGGCTCAGGGCTGCAGGGAGGGAGCCAGCTCTGGCCACTGAGATCTACAAGCAGAAGCTGCTGAAGCCCTATCTGCAAGGCCTGTGATTTGGTGATCAGAGTTGCTGGGGACTGCCACCTGGGAGCTATGGAAGTGGGGTGGTCAGGACCCTGGACTTTGGGTATCCCTGTAGGGTCCTGCCTGTTCCTGGACTCTGAATGAGGGCAGACACACCCACCCTGAAACTGTCTTTGAGGAAGTACTCATAGCTTCCCCTTCCTGGAGCCTGTGGGCTGGGGTGTCATGGCCCACTGAGGGGGTCTCCATTCCTCACCCTGCTCAGCCTGGTGCATGGTAGGAACTCAGTACAAGCTGCACCTGCTCTGTGGAGTGTGGTGAGCCCCAGGACTATTCTAGCTGTCAGAGTGAGCAAGGGAGTTGAGTGAGCTGGCAGCTGCCACTTCTCCATTCTGGCCAGAGTGCTGTCCTCAGTTCTGCTGGCTGTCATTTCACTGTCTTTATGGTCTAGTCCAGGTGGTGCTGGACCAGTGTGCACAGAGACAAGTCTTGCCTCCTTTGGGGCCCATGAGGCCCTGGCTAGGCAGCTATCCTCTGCTCCCAAAATGACATCTCTCAAAAGGACTCCTGGGTTCCCAAACGGGAGGGAAGCAAGCTGTCCGTGTTGTCTCTGGATGACCATGGATGGGTCCCAGCCCCTTCTGATTCTCAGTTGCCTCAGCTGTAAAGCAATGGGGTTTCTCCAGCTCTGATCCTTGATTTTCTCCCTGGCCCCTCCCCAAACCTGGTCTCACAGTTTCACCTCCAGATTCCCTGTTCCTGCCACATTCTTCCTCAGCTCTCTCCTCCCTCTACCACTCCCCACATCACTTCCACTAAGAAGCCTCCTTCCCAGGCACAATTAGTTCCTGCCTTCTCTGCACATACAATAATGGCAAATACTGTTATAGTGGCAGCAGGATTAGTTGTTTACAGCTTTCCCAGTTCCAGGAGGTGGGGGGAGGGGGGAAGGGGGAGAACCCCTGGAAAGGTTGGGGGAGAGTTTGTGTGATTCATTCATTTCATTTGACAGATATTTACCTGCACCCTCAAGGATTACTCTGGGCCTGGAAACAGAGACCCAGATGGAAGAGACTCACCACCAAGACAGTGGGATCTGGGCCTGGGGTGGGGAAAGCTCCAGGACAGTGGAGTCCTAGAGGCCCAGCTCACAGCCATGGAATGAGAGATAGGGAGGAGGAATGAGTGGAGAGGGATCAAGGGGAGGAGCAAGAGGATGGAGTGAACAAGGTCAGTCAGATGGCTTGAGTGTGGATATGTTAAGTGGGGGGAGATCAGGTGGACCTTGGGTGGGGACAGGGCCTTGCAGAGATTACTATCATAGGACTCACCCCTACTTAGAGTTTTCCATGTGCCACTCACATGGAAACATTTTACATTTTACTTTCATTTCCTCCCTTAGTCCTGACCTTAGCCACTGCAGTGGGTTGATGTTACTGTTAGGCGCATTTACTGATAAGAAAACGGAGGCACAGGGAGTTTCTGGTATTTCTCCAAAGTAATATGCAGCTAGTAAGTTTGTAGACTGTTCCTCAGAGTTCTTGCTGTCAGTTGTCCCTCTACCACGTCTACTTCCTACACAATCCAAACCAGAATGTCTGGGTTTTATCCTCAGGGCACTGTGGAGCCACAGAAGGTTTATGAGCAAGAGAGTGATGTGATTTCTTTCAGCAGGATCCCTTGGCTGCCATGTAGAGGATGGATTGTAGAGGAAAGATGAGAGCCAGGGAGGAGGCTGGAGGCCCATGAGAAGAGACAGAGAACAGAGACACATGTGAGGTGGGGGTTGAGGAGGGGAAGAAACTGACAGGGTGTAGGGGTGGAAGGGGGGGGGCTTGCTCTGGCTGGTGAGAGACCACAAAGTGGAGAGACCAGGAGCAGGGGCCACTGGAGGTGCCTAAAGTGTCTAGGGGAGGTTTCAGAGCAGTGATGGACATGGGGCTGGTGATTAGGGGAGAAGCTGGGCTGGAGATGACAGAATAGGATTCAGAGCCCCAGGAATGGAAGGGAGGCATGTGAATGGAGTGGCAAGCAGAGGCCTAGCTCTACCCTTGGGGCCCCCATGGAGATGGAGAGGGGGAAGCTGGGAGGGGTGGAATAGGGTTGCTGGACACTTTAGGAAGAACGAATAATTAGAGGGAGTGACTATCAGGTGGAAGTGTGCAAGGACCACACAGCCTGGCCTGAGGCTGGAGGAGGATATGCCTCCCTGTGGCCCTGTCCTGCCCTGCCTCCATCGATTGGGGTCTGTGTCTGCCCACCTCTGGTGAGCCTGGCCTCCAAGGGGCTGACAGGTTCTCCCCGTTGCTCAGCAACTGCAAGAGCTGTTGGCTGTTGCTAGGAGCCAGCTGGGGAGGCCCAAGGAGGTAGGATCAGCTCTCAAATGTGGGGCGGGGCTGATGGGGGAAAGAGGCCTGCCTTGGAGCTGGGTTTGTAGCCTATGTGTGGACAGGCTGTGGTTTTGACTGTGTGCACCCATTTTATAGTGGGTTCTATGGATTTGAGGCATGTTGGAGGTTGGTCCTATGACTTAATGAATAGTGCATATCTCTGAGTGTCTGTGTTCCTGGATGGCCATTATATGTTTTCACCATGTTTGCTGCATGTTTGTGGCAGAGCCTGCCTGAGCTTTGGCTCTAGGCAGGAGAGGATCCTCGGAGAACCATTGGAAGACCTATAGTCCAATGATTGCTCCTCAACAAGGGAGCCATTCAGATAGGGATCCACAGACAGTCCACGGAGAGCAGACAGCTGAGGATTTGGAGCTGAAACAAGATGTGTGGCAGGGTGGTAAGGAAGGAGTCTATGCTGAACAGGGGGTCTGTGGGTGGCCAGCTCCCTTCCTGGCTTTGTGGACCTTGTCTTTGGGCGGGGCCTCCTCGACTCACAGCATTGGGGCCACACAAGAATCTTCGTGGGTAACCCTTGTTAGACTCTTTCACTGGAAGTCCATTGGAGGTCAGGGCTGTGGGCTCTTCTTGAACAGTATTAGAAAGACTGCAATGTTCTGCTAGAAACGATGCTGCCTCCACTCCACCTTTGCCCAGCCATAGGGTTGCAGCCACTGTCCAGTAGGGACAGGTCATAGGGTCAGGGCCACTTATCTTTCCATAAATCAGGTGGACCTCTCCTTCTTGCCTGCTGCCTCTCTCTCTCTCTCCCTCTTTCTCGGTCTGGTTGCCATGTCCCAGGCTGAAGTCCAGGATTCCTACATGCAGGAGAAGGCCTCCTAGATCAGAGAAGGATGGATAAAGCCTTGTGTGACAAGAGGAGGCACCCTGGCTGAGGGAGATAGCTTGGGCAAAGGTGTAGAGGTGGCAGTAGACATTTTTTAAACTGCAACTCGAGAGAGAAGGGGCCAAACTCGCCTTAAGACAGAGAAAGCCGAAGTTTAGAGAGGCTCCGGGGCTCCGTAGATCCTGAAACAAGTTTATTGGGTTCAATAACTTTAACAAGAGAGAAGACACGCCTCCTTCACCCAGCTAGCCCGTCTCGCTTAAGCTCCAGGGCTGATTTCTGCTCGCCTAAGAGGTGCACCGGATCCCCACCCTCGGGGTACAAGATCCGCCCGCCTCCGCCGTTGGGCAGCGGGGCTCCGGGAGTTCCGCATCCAATCGGAGCCCAGCCCCGCCTGCAGCTCGCCTGGAGCCCAATCCCTCTGGGCTTGGCTCTACTCTTGCAGCTATTCCTCGGCGTAGCTCCGCCTCCAGCTCGGGCCCGAGTCTGGGCTGAGCCTAACTTCTAATTTGCTCCGCCCTCAAGCCAATCACCGACCCCGGATCTCCTATGGCCCCGCCTCCGGGCCCTCCCTGGCCCAGTCCCGGGCCTGGCCTGCTCCGGCCCCACCCTCGGCCCGCCCCGCCGTCGGTGCGCGGCGGCCGGGAAGGCACCGCCCGCAGACGCTCGGAACTGCCGACCCGAGAGCTACCCGTAGAGGGTCGGAGGCGGGAGCGGAGTGGGTCGGACGGGGCCGAGCCGGGCCGGGGGCCGTGTGGGGGCCGGGCGGCGGCCGGGCCGGCGGACGGCGGGATGGGCTGCACCGTGAGTGCCGAGGACAAGGCGGCGGCCGAGCGCTCTAAGATGATCGACAAGAATCTGCGGGAAGACGGCGAGAAGGCGGCGCGGGAGGTGAAGTTGCTGCTTTTGGGTGAGGCCGCGCCCTGCGCTGGGACCCTCGATTCCCCTTCCGAATCCCCAAAGACTTTGACCTCCAGACTAGGGCCTTGAACTCCCAGACTCAGACTGGACCCCCACACCTGGCCTTGAACTCCCAGACCCGGCCTGGCCAGGATACCCAAATGGTTCAAAACTTTAGGTTGGCCTAGACCTCTGATCCGTAGCCCAGACTCTAGGTCAGACCCTTAACTCCTGGCAGACCCCAAGCCCCCAGACTCAGAACGCTGCCTGACCATCCACCCTTGCTGACCAACCTCACAGACCCTCAGAGTCCCTGCCTTGTCTTCCATCCTTCCCTAGACTTCACTCAAATCCCCGGAACCCCCTGCTTTGGCCCCCACCTTAGGCACCACCTGTTTCCCTCACCTGCTCCCCTGGGCATGAATTGGGCATGAACATCCCTGGGGCCCCTGCCAGGCCCCCACCCACTCCTTCCTTTCCCCTCTTGCCCTGTCCCTACTCTGAACCCTGTATCCACCTGTGCACCCTGACATCAAGGGACCTCTCAAGTGGAAACCATGATTGCTCATGAGCCCTCTCTCTAGCTGGAACCCCCAAACCTTTAGAGATCTTTGCGACCTGCATCTGGCTCACCAGGTCCCACTCTGCACACATTACTCCTCAAACCCCTCTGCTCCTCCTCCCTGAGTCCTCTCCCACACTGGTCTACCTCTGATTCCCCTACCCCTCCTGCACTAGGTGGACGGGGTCGAGCTGGGAGGAGGGGCCCAGACTAAGGGGCTGGACTGAGGTTCTACTGGTCTCACTGAGGGAGGGAGCCAGGCCTCAGGCTTCCCAGGGAGATTCCGCGGGCTGGCTGTTTCCCAGTTTCTAAGCCCTATCTGGGCCAGTGAGGGGGGCGTCTGGGGAGTAGGATGGAGTGTGAGTGTGGAGGAGTTTGGGTTGTGGCGCCTCCAAGGCCAGGAAAGATGGTGGCTGCTTGAGGGGTGGGGGGAAGTGGAAGTGGTGAGACAGCCGACATATTGCTGCCCTGCCGGGCGGGCCAAAGAGATGTACTGACGGGTACTGGGCTTCCTGCACCCTTTCTGCGCCGAAAGGCCAAGGACTTGGCCTCTGGGAGTGGGTGGGCCTGTCACATCTTGAGGCCCTGTGAGGGGGAAGTGGTGGGCCAGCTGGATGAGGAGTTGGGGGCCAACTGGAATTGGGGGACATCTGAGGTGGACTTTTGCAAAGACTGTGCTCCTGATAGTTGTCCCCGTCCGGCCTTCCTCTGGGAGCAGGTGTGGTGCCCGGTGGCAGCCTGATTCTGGGGTTTCAGGGCTCGGGGGAGACAGGCCCTCGTAGCAGCATTGGAGGCTGGACAGTGTATGTGGGGGGGTGTGGCCCCTCAGCCTCACAGCCGCTGTGGGGTCCTCAGGCTGTGAAAAGCAGAGCTTTCCTGGCTGAGTGTCTGGCCGAGGGACGGACAGCGTGTCTTCCGTCCTGAGCCCATCTGTTGACTGTCCCTGGGGGCCTGGCCTCAGGGGCACAGCCCAGAGGTTTCAAAATGGCATCCGCTCCGCCGCCGCTGCGGGTAGGAAGAGAAGGGGCGGGAAGGGGCGGCGGCCCAGCCTCCTGGGCTGTTTTGCGTTGGGCGCTTGCCTCTTCCTGTCTTCGCATCGAGTGCGGCAGCACCAGTTGAGTGGGTGTCGCCGCGGTGGAGGGCACGTCGCTTCTGCCCGATGGGCCTGGGTAGGGTGTTTTCGGTACTCCTGTCTTTTGGTGCCCACCCAGGGGCCACTGGGCAGCCCCTTCCCAGGCGGATCAGCTGAGGAGATGTGCGACTGGGCCATAGGACCGGGGTACATGGGGCTCCTGGCCCTCTGTGTCCCAACCCCATTCCACTAGTCTTGCTCCGTAGAGCTTGGTTCAGATTTTGGGCCTAGCAGCCCCTCCTACACTGGGCTGGCAGCAACCAGGGGTGCAGGGTCTGGCTCAGCATTTTCTAGGCTGGGGAGTTCATCTCAGCATCTTGCTCCTCTGGCCTTTGCTTCCTCTGTTGAATGGGCTTCCTGGGTTTGGGCCAGAGGAGTGCTGGGCCCAGGATGGGGAGAATAGGGGCCTCATGGAGGTTCCTGTTGGGGGTGGGGGATGGGATCTAAGACCCTGCAGAGGGTGTACTGCAAGGGGCCGGGAAATGTAGATCTGCCTGAAACCGGGGACCCAATCTGCATTGGCTGCCTAGGTAGGGGAACTGGCCAGCCATCCCTTTCCCGTCCAGGTACAAGGAAGTGATGAGAGCCCAGGCGGAGCAGCTTCAGAGTGCTGGGCGCCTGTCCCACGTAGCGGGAAGAACTCTGTCCAGGCAACGGGACTCTTAGGTTGGGCAATTGCCAGCCTTCCCTTTCAGCCAGAACCACGCCTGCTGCCCCACCCGCATACTGGCTCCTTGCCCTCCTGGGTAGCCCTGCCGGCGGATGGGCACCAGGAGCAGAGGCAGATGTGGTACACACCGGTGAGAGCGATTTTCCTAGCAGCTTGTCATGAGGGGGCACTGGGGGCAGAACTCCTGATACCAGCCCTACTTCAGGGACACCTCTCTCTGCCCCCCAGTTCAACTTGACTGACCCACTATCCCAGGTGGAATTTGGGGCCTTGGGCTGGGCACTTAAGGGAAAGGAAGCCAGAGTGTGTGTTTGGGGGGGGTGTCTCTGATTTCGGATGGGCTTGTGTGGGCAGCCTACAGAGAAAGGAGAGACTGTCCCCTCATGGGCTCCATGAAGGCTTCAGTGTATAAATACAGCCCTTCTCTCTTGCCCCTGGGACTGTGCATCTGCTCTCCTAGCTTGGCATGCATTTTCCTTCTTTCCATCTAACTCACTCCTGCTTGACTGTTCTTCAAGACTCTGCTCCGGGACCACCTCCCAGGACCCTTCCTTGACAGAGGCTGCTGAAGCCCCTCCTGTGGCTCCTGGTGCTACTGCTTCCTTCCCCCATCAGAGAGTGGGATTTGCCTGGGTGACAGCTGTCCTTCCTTGAGACTACAGGGGCAGAGCTGTGTCCTGTTCATTTCTGTGCCTTCTGTGCCAAGCATGGAGCCTGGCATCTATTGAGTGCTTCTTGTCTGTTTGTTGGATGAGGGAAGTACTACTAGTCTGAACTCAGTCTTGGGGGTAGATGGGTAGATGGAGGAGTAAGATGGCAGTCACTGAACCTGATATATTGTGGGCGGGTGGCAAGGGCTCAGTGTTGGGACCGATGACAGGGATGGGGTCTGGCAGACACCGAGAGAGAAGTTCTTCAGGCTGTTTCTTCCTGAACTCCCCACCTGCCTGACTGGCTCCTCGGAGACAGCCCTTAACCCACCCTGTGCAGAACTCTAGCTGATGAGTCTGTAGCCTGTCATAGGGCAGAGCATGCAGTGGGGATTCCACCCGTTCATATGAGAGTGGTTTTACATGCTTCCTTTCAGCTCGGGCTGTTTGGGGCCTGCTGCGGGCCTGCTGTCTCTGCTGTTCCAGTAGAGCCTATTTAGCTCTCAGAGCTGGGCTGCCCCACAGTCCTGGGGCTCAGGCCAGAGCACTGCTGCAGGAGATCTTGGCCTGGCCAGTTCAGGGACTGCACATACCAAGTCTCGATTAGGTTTACCAAAAGAAAAGGAAAGGAGTGTTGTGGTGTCTGTCCCATCTGTGTTTCTAACAAATGGCCTGGCAAACAGGTGCCTATTAAGCATGTATGGAAAGAATGAGGCTATAGAACACATCCATGAACAGGGATAATTCCAGGGCTGTTGCCTGGGGCTTGGTCTAACTGGAGAAGGGGTAGCCTGGGATCCTGGTTGGGAAGAGTCTAGTGGTGCCTGTGAATGGAGGGTGGGAGGTTCCTCGGGTGGCTTTGCAAAATGAGCAGCATTTGCCGCAAAATGAGGGGCAGGTATTGGGGCAGAAAGATCCACTCAGCGAGGGCACTGAAGTAGGAAGGCCTGGCCTGGGGGGAGGAGGGTTCACCTCTTTAGACTAGCTCTTGGGGTCACACAGACTTAGGTTCAATACCCAGCTCCACCTAGTGCACTTGTTGAGAAACCCAGTGACAGGTGAAATCCTGGTAGATGTCCTGTTCCCCATCCATAACTGGGAACAGGATGCCTGCCTGCAGCCACAGGTGTTGTGGGACCATGGGCCAAAGCCTGGGGGTGTGAGAACAAGTGAGAGAGCCTCTAATGACTCCTACAGAGTTGAGAGTTTCGTGGGGAGGATTCTCCCCAGCCTACAGGCTGACTGGCCCCCGTATGGAGGTCCTGGGGAACCCCCTCCCTTGGCCTCAGGCAGCTGTTCACAGCAAGTGGGGAGACCGAGGTGTGTAGACAATTGGTGCCAGCTGGAGTGATAGACTGTCCTGGGGACCTTAAGCCCAACTTCTCAGGGCTGAGCTACCTTCTTGGCTGCCTAAGGTTGGGGAGGCGGCTGGGCTCTAGGCACCAGGTGGGCCGGTATCCAGGCGGGCCTCCAGCCTCCCTGTTCTTCCCACAGCTTTCGAGGTCCCGGCTGGAGCTCATTAGCACTTGAATGGGGGTGGGGTAGCTTGGGCCTCCAGTCTCTTCTTCCCACCCCTCCCCCAGGCTGGGCGAGGCTTTGTCTTCCAGAGCCCGGCCCTGGAGCTCCCACGCTGGGAAGCGAGCGAGGGTCTAAGCCATTTCTGACCCCCTGTGCTTGTGTCTTGCACAGTCCCACTGGGCTCATCTCCTGCCCGTGACCCTAATGTTGGTGCAGACAACAGGAGAAATCAGACTTCTAGGATAGGAGTGGAACTGGGTCCTTCAGGGCTACCCCAAGCCAGGAGACTGGGTGAATCTTTGCAAAAGGAATTGATGGCTTTGCAAAGGAATTGATGCTGGAACTCAGCTGCAGGCATCCCAGGAGGGTGGGGTGGAGAACCCCAGACAGGGCAGAGAGCAGGTGGCAAGGATAGAGGGAATGAGCTGCCACCATAGTTGGAGATGGAAGTTATGCCAGCTGGGGAGCACAGGCTTCT